CAGCCAAACAAATATTGACATGATGCATCATCACAATATGCTCTCAATAACACTTTTTACATTGCTAACGAGTTTTGCCAGAAAATCAGAGATTTATGCCGGTTTGTCTGCCAATCTTGGCTGCTGTTTCGCATCCAGACAATTACCACAACACCCTCTATAAAGCAAAGCAGATAATAGAGCCTCTTTTTGGATGCTCACAATTTTTTTGTTGTATGTATACTGAAAAAGAGCCCAAGTGCATCTATACAGATTAATGAATGTTAAATTTTTCAAGCCAAGTGAGATCACAGAAATGTTCAAAAAGCAAGGTTTGAAGTACCCTTTTTCAGTCTGGAAAAATATTTCAATATAATTCTAGGAAAATGATAGCAAACATGTAATGATTTGCAGGGTAGAGTCTATAATCATATAGCCCTAGGAGCCGATCTCATTCTAACTTTGGACACATTAACCTAAATCTTGGCTACTTAACATTAAAGAAAAAATTAATACCAGCATTTTGCACAGAGATTAAGGATTAGAGATCATACTTGTGAAGTGCCTAGCACTGTGCCCAGCACATTAAAATAGGTCTTGGTAAACATCTTCATTTCCCATACAGCTATGTGGATTTTATGGTTTCTGAAATGGGTAAATTTTGGGGACCCAAAGGAATGAGTCTTAATTTTATTTCATCTCCAGCATTTAGCAATTCCCATGATATAGCTAATAATTAATATATGTTAAAAATAGGAGACTGCTTTTCAATTTTAAAAGTGATTAATTCATTTAAGTCAGACTAAATTCTCAACTACAAGAAATGGTGAGGAATATATTCATTAACCACATATTCTAGCAGAAGTTATTAGGCATGAGCTACAAATTGTTGCAATTTTCAAAGTTTTTATCCTCTTATGTAGTCTTTTGATCAAAGTACTTGTTACCTATTACATGCAAGGCAATTTGGAAATCCTGTTTTAGTCACAATCTTATGCTGCTTTTATAAAATTTATACTTTAAATCAGAGACAAATACGAGACTCTGCATTTAACAATTGCTACAATGGGGTAATGTACGAATTGCAATGGTTTCTTAGAGAGTTAAACATCTAGCTCTGCTTGGGAGGAGTGAGGAAAGGCTCCATGGCTTTTAAACTTGAAGAATCAATCCTAGGTTTCTCAGGAAAGACCACTGTAGAACATAAAGGCATAGAGGTGTGAGACCATGGCACAAGAGAGATAATAAATATTTGTAGTTCAGTATAGCTGCAGTGCAAATCAGAGAAGGAAACTGTGAGAAAGTTGTGGTAACAGCTGACTGAACAGTTCATGAAGGGTGTAACAGGTCACATATAGATTTTTATTCAGTAGGATTTCGACTAGTGGAACACAATCGTATTTCCATGCCAAAAACCCCATTACAGTAGTGTGAAAGAGGGAACAGAGGGACTAGAAGCTTTTCCAACATCATTTATGAGAGGATGAGAGCTTTAATTATAGTAGATCTTGAGACAGAGTTCATAAATGCAATCAAAAAAGAATCTTGTGATGGGTTTGCTATGGCAAAAGAAAGGAATAAAATCTAGTGAGTTCCAAATACCTGGCTTAAGCAATTTGGAAGAATGGTTTAATTACATAGCCTGATTTAAATAATGATTTATCTATCTCCAGTATTATCATAGGGTGGTTCCAGAATTTCTGTCTTGGAGGGCTTATGGGCAATAGTCTGGTTAGAAGATTACCAATCTTGTAGTTGCATCTGCAAGATACATAAAATTACAGAAACATAAATTGTCTGATGGAGCTTATGAATATGGTGCCATAGTCCTGCTCCCATTATGCCAGTCTATGGAGTGGCACCAGAATCATAATTATCTTTATTTGATTGACTTTTACTGTAATGTCCTATGATTTTTACCATATTTACCACCAAATTTACATCATGTATTGAAAATGCCATTCATGATTATTACATACATATTAAGTATTCTGAAATAAGAATTTAAGCCCTACACATTTTCTTTTATATTTTTAAATTTATAATTCAATACACATACAGATTTGGTATACCGTATACGATAAAAAAGATACTAGAAAATTCTACTATGATGAGAAGAGTTTCAAAGTCATAAAGGGGTCAAATTCAAATCTTAATCTACTTCAGTCTCTTTCTTCTGTAAAATGGTGATAATTTGGAATTGTTGAAAATGAGGTAAGTGGAAGTATATCCAAATATGTGACACACAGTGGATGTTTAATACATTTCTTTTGGGTGAATTACTTATGTAAATTATATATACATGTGTACATATATAACCACAACCGACATAATATATAAATATGCATATGTATATAGACATATATATATATATATATATGCATATATGATTTACCTATGTAATTGACTGTTTTGTAAACAGCCTTGGGAGCAGTCAACTTAGAATTGCTCCATTAAAGTGTATTAATACTTTCAAATTCAAAAATATTTCAATGACTTGGGTAAAAGATTATGATAGATTTTTAATATTTTAATTTGGGAAAAGGGGGCTTCAAGGGGACTGCATTTTCTTCCCATTAACTTTTCTTTCAAATAACTAATTTTAGGAAATAAAATATCCATAAAAACTATTGTACTTAAAAACAATGTAAAGGGGGGCTTTATGACCAGAGTCATTAGCTAGCCTCTCTGCACTTAGTCAACTACTAGAGAACCACGAAATGGAATGTATACTTTCCAAGATTCTAGAACATACCCTTGCACTGAATTTTGTTCATCTACAAAGTGAAAGGTTGGCCTTATCATTTTCAAACCCAGCTGCACAACAGAAATCACCAGGACTGCTTTTTGTAAACAGATTCTTATGTAACATGCAAGATTTTAAGATTCAAAATTTTTGAGGTGGTTTCTAGAGATCCATGTTTTTAATTCTATAGGTGGCTCTGATAGTCACTTACACTTAGAACCTACTAGCCTACCCAGTTACTTTAATCTCTTTTTTGTTGTTGTTTCTGAAGAGGGACTGGAATTTGGAAGTATATATTCATTTCTATGACCTACATCTTTGCCCCTGCTCACCTTTTTTTCAACATACGCTATATACTGGCTCAATGGATGTGCTTGCTGATTAAGAGCTTTAATAATGAAGTAAGAGTAGACAATACAGCTTACAGAATGACAAATGTATTTTCATAGATATTATATACTAATCATGTATTTAAATACGACATTTCAAAACATTCTGCACAAAGAACTTACAGATCACAATTACTTAATAACAAAATGTCTAGTTCTTTAGGAAAATGTAATTTAAGGGACTTAGCTACAACAAAATTTTTAAAACCAAAGAAATTACTTTATGGCAGAGGATATCATAACTTATGTAACAAAGCAGGCAGATTTTGTTGTAGACACAGGATGGAGGGAAATCTAATTTAAATGAAAAAATTCAGGGAATGGGGGCAGCCTGGGTGGCTCAGCAGTTTAGCACCGCCTTCAGCCTGGGGCCTGATCCTGGAGACCTGGGATCAAGTCCCTCATCGGGCTCCCTGCATGGAGCCTGCTTTCTCCCTCTCTGCCTGTGTCTCTGCCTGTCTCTCTCTCTGTGTGTCTCTCATGAATAAATAAATAAAATCTTTAAAAAAAATTTTTTTTTTTCAGGGAATGGGTATTCATACATTTGAGCATTTTTTGTTTAGAAGAATAAAAACTTCCCAAATATTAGCATACCTTTCTACCTTTACAATTCAGAATTTTACTGTTCGTCTGTCAAATATATGACAGCAACTGGTTAGTTTCTTAAACTTAATTATCAGTGTCACCCTTGAGATGCTGACCCTGTTGCAGTCCTTTCATATTTTTTTCTCAATGAACCTATGGCCTTTGACAGGGAAGGTAACTGAAACACGCTTAGATAAAAACTGGTCTTAGAGATACTTTATTCATGAATAATTCAGCAAGTACTTATTGAAAGCCTGCTACATTTCCAGGTCTAGAAAGAGCAAGATAGATACAAAGCCTGCCTCCAGGGAGCTCACCATCTAGACTATAGCAGGCCCAGCACTGGTTCAGAATTACTATGAACCTTCCTTTCATCTTCCAAGATTTATATAGATATTAATTTCCTCTGTAAGGGCAAATAAAATCTTCTCTTATGCATATCATTTTTTAGATTATCATAAGGGGAACTCTGAAGTCTGTGTGTTGACTAAGCCTACTTTGCTTTCTCTGATTGCCCTTCTACTCCTTCTGACAATGTCCTATTTTCTTTCCCTCTTGGTTCTCCACAACCTACTCTCTGTGCTTTTGCCAATCCAGTTGGCTTTTTCTGTGACACTCTTTCTGTTCCCCTACACTGTCTTTTGTCTCCTTCCTCCTTACTAAAAAACTGGTCATTGGAGCTTTCATAGGATCCTTTTCCTGACTTCTTATTCATATCAGTGACTAAACACCTCCTTAAATGTTGGGTCTTTTTTTTTTTTTTTTAATGTTGGGTCTTTAGTAAGCATAATAATCAGGATTTCCAATTAGCATTTCCTAGAGCTCTGTTGTGAACTGACATCTTTCCAATACTCTCTTCCTGAATGCTATTTAGAAATATTACCCTCAATAAGACAAGGATTTCTTGAGGATTCCTGTTTTAAAAGTCGTATTAAGAGACTGATAAAGGATACATAACTCAGCAAAGAATGCTTCTACTTTATTCTCAGTTCCTACCAAGTACTGTATTCTGCAAGATCACAGTTAAAACTCTTTGGTGTGGGATATCAATTTTGTACATAAGGGCTAGATCAAAAAATTCCATTTTGGGGTCTCTAATATAGTCTGAAACATAAACAAAACCTAAATGATAAAAAGCTGAGATAGTTAACTATTCATTGCTATGTCTATGTCCTTTATCATAAACAATATACAATTAAGAATTCAACTTTTTTTAAGTCTCCAAGTCAGATGCTATCAAGCATCTGGAGCAAGCATGTATGTCCCATGGTCCTTTTATAAAATTTTAACTCAGACACACAGAAAATTTGGTAAACTTTAATTTTCCAAATGTTCTCAGTAAGAATTATCAGAAGCATCCACCACTTACAAAATACAGCTGGATAATCCACTGAGCCCAAATGAACTACCTGTTACGTGTTGTGAGGTAGCAATGACAGACTATGATCTTCTGTGGAGATGGTACCCTTTGTGCATAAACATTCCCTTGTCACAAGAAGAGTGTGAATAACAAGAAGGGACAGAGCCACCCTTCATTATTTCATCAGCTACTGGTCTTTTCATAGTTTTAAATGCCTGATTTCAGTTTTACAACAATACCAATATTTATTTGGAAAGGTCATCCTATGTTCCAAGCAGCAGATATTAACAACTTCCAACACGATCTCTAGGAATAATTCGAAGTTCTGAACCATGCTTTAGGAAAACATTTCCTACACAAACAAATAAAACATAAAGTCAGGTATTTTAAAAATGACAAGTTATCTTAGCATTCCAACAACTATCATAATACAAGATACAAAGAAGTGTAAAGTAAGTAGGTACAGAAGCTCAAGTAACTTTAGAATCTAACTCCATGCTTTTTATTTTTAAGGCCTGTTCCCATTCCTCTCACATTCTCACAACACAACCATATCTGAAAATTTTAAATAAGAACACTAGCCACAAAAGTGCTAACACATACACTCAGCAAACAACAATGTAACTTAATTTAACCATCAACATTTGCTAATTTAGTACACATTAAAATACCTAAGGACAGAAAAAAACAGTAAATATAGATTACCACAAATGACCGAAGTTTAGAAACCTGATCTAATCTATTTTTGCTCAATTGCTTGCTGAAATTTTCTTCACGCCCCATGATACACACAATTCAACTTTTAAGGGTAATAATACAACACGCAACGTGTTACAATAAGCAGGAACTCAAACAATATGAACTACTGAACATTTCTACAATAAGAAAAAATAAAACCTTTAAACCCAAGATACCTCCACAATAAAATGCCTCATAATTTTCAATAATCTTAATAACATTATATACTTAAAACCACTGATTAAAGCAAAAAAGTTACAATTTTACATCCCTCTTCATTTTCTACATGGCTAAATTTCAATTCCAAGGCCTTATGAAGACACTGCAATTTTGTACAGTACAGATGTACTTCAGAATATAGTAATTTAAACATAACTACTACTCAAATTGAGATCACACTACATTAAAACATGCTTAATTTTAAAATACTATAATTAGATGATAACCCAACAAAAAGTACATCTAAAAATATAAAATTACCTATTAAAAAGTTTAAGACTACTTTTACTTTGCCTGCTTGTTAGGACATTAATATACCGCACTGTAGTTCTAAGTGTGGACTAAGTCTCTTGAAATTTTAATGACCATACTTCTTTAAAATAATAGTGACAGCTAGCACGTACTGAATGCTACTATGGATAACACAAGCTTAAGCACCTTTAATACTTACTAGTGAGGTTTTGGCTTTCTTGTAGCCAAAAGCATATATAACTGATGCCCATCACAAAACAAATTATTACTCAGACACATAGATAAAGACTACTATATAATCCTTAAAAAACAGCTATCATCCTGGTAAAAATCCTCTTGATTCTAATTAGAATGAATTAAATGTTCAGTTTCAATTGACATGTGTAGCCCCATCCACAACTCCAGAAGTTTCACACAGATACTCACCAGCAGTCTGTGCGGGATTTATTCCTATTCCATCTAGAAAATAAATTGTAAAATTACCTAAGTTCTTTTATTTCTCAAGTTAAAATGGTTTAATACAGTAACAAGAAGAGATCTGTCGCTACAGAGTATATAGGCACAAGCCAAACAATTTAAATCCAGAAACGTGAATGACAAATCTTTCAGGTAGGTTACCTGTTGAAATCCTGTTCTTATTATGCATTTACACACACTGCTGGATTAGATGAGAATATCTGCCAATGCGATGATCCTGATTAAGTTCCACAGAAGACAGTTTTTATTCTATTACACCACACCCAGTGAAAAGTAAAAGTCAAAAGAAGCCTTAGGTCTGTTCTTAATCATTTATGTATTGCTCCTGGGCATAAAATCTTAAGGCCAGGAAAGCCCACAAACTCATTTAATTTAAGTTGCAGGGAAACCTGATGATAGTTTACAAGGCACTTTCCTAACAGCAATTCATTTGTAAATCTAAAACTTTCCGTAAAGTAGGCTAGCTTTCATTTCAGGTAGAGGAACACTTCAATGGGACAACATATAGAATATTTCAGAATGAGAAATTCTGTCACATATAAACTAAAGCATGCTACCGTGCATTAAACCCGTCATATCTGGGCTGCCCTGACTGCAGATGAACCACTGGCCACCACCCACAAATACTACCTTGTATTTCTGCAAGACCATTAAGGCCTTCCTGCAATATTTACTCCTCAACTTATTTCGGTACCTTCTCACAGGGCTAGTTCCATCTCAATTACTAGTATTCTAAGATATTCAGAATTTAAACTATAGACCTAACTGAACGAAATCATAATTATTTCAAGCTTGTAACAAATAGTTTACTGTCAGGAAAGCAATAAAAAGCCATAGCAAAAACAAACAAACAAACAAACAAACAACAAAAAAGCCATAGCAAAGGTATATTCCCACTCAACGTCCTATATTCTAGAAGCATCTACAAATTATTAAAAAACAACACACCTTGTTAATAAATACACAGAAAAGTTATTTTTAGTAATCTGGCATGAAACGGTAAGGACACAAGATACTGTTAAGTGCTACACTATACCAAAAGCATTAAAAACCCTGAAAACAGCTCATTACGGACAATAATCTTGACTTAGTGTTTACAATTACATGTATCATTTATGTTGATATAAATTTTGGTCTTTTTTATTTAAGTCGATTTTAATTAATCTGACTTTTTAAAACAATTTCTATAGCTCTGTGGTAATAGTTTTAAAATGAATTCTTACCATTGGTAATAATTGCACTTGTTGCTGCAGGAACTTTAAACTGAAAGGGAGAAAAAGGAAAAAATACACTTTTTATCTTTATACAAGTCTATATAAATAAAATATATATAAACATATAAAAAATATGTATAAACTATAAAAGCGGTTAGCAAGGATGGCATACATATAATCAATTCTATAATCCTAAAATGTAATTTTTCTGTTAGGATAAATAATGTCACCAAAGGAAATACTATAATTTGCTTATTTTAATGAACAATATTTTTTAAATACTGGATTTCACTGCCTCTAGGACACCACAGATTGTAAAATGCACCTTATTTTATGCATTACAAAAATAGAAAAACGCTGTCAATAAATCTATGATCAATGTTTACTCTTTCAGACTGAGACATACTACTTTTATCATTTTTAACACTTACATAATGAAAAATAAAAACAATTGCTTAGAACATTTCTAAAATTTGTCTGTAGAAATTGTAATGTTAAACAAATGCTCTCCTGCATTTAATGGAAGACCAACCAAAGCTCAAACTCCTTCCTCAAATTCTCTTTTGAATGTACCATCTAACTATGCCACCAGGAAATAACTAGTTTATGTAGATGCAGGTGATATCAACTAGACAATTATGCGATAGCCACTCGGCTAACAGAGTAAGACCCACTGATCTACTTCCAGAGGTGTAAAAAGATGCATTTTTTTGAATCAATAAAATATGGTACAGAACTTATTAGTAGCTAAAGGGAGAGGTCTTCTTTTAATTCTCTAGAGACCAGCAATTGTCAAAATGTGTTCATGTCCTCATAAGTTCATTCATCTATCTAATGAATATTTACTAAGTACTTCTATGCAATAGACTAATTTTACAGATATTTTACAGTTGAATTCTGTGATCAAATGAGTTTGGAAAATACTAAGGTAAAGTAGTATTCTTTTCAAAATCCTTTAACATGCAGCTAATACAGTTTACTTAATGTCAAGAAGGCAATGGTGAATGAAGTATTTCCTATACTCTTTGGCCACTGATTCTAATTTTTCATGGTTTTTGTTTTGTGGTTCTAGGGTCTTGGAAAAAATACTCTGGGAAATGCTGCTCTGGGTATTTATAATGGTCACATGCATAGTTAAGAAAAAACTAAAATTTAATTTGTTAATTAAAAAATCAAGTTTTAAAATAAAAATTTAACTATGCATTAGAACAATAACCTGTTACTGGATTATGTTCCTTAATAAACCTAATTTTATTATCTCTATGGTACATTTTTATTTGTAAATGTCCTCTTAAGGATTTAAAAAACTTAAATAAACTTGGGAAGCCTGGGTGGTTCAGCGGTTGAGCACCTGTCTTCAGCCCAGGGCATGATCCTGGAGTCCCAAGATCGAGTCCCACATCGGGCTCCCTACATGGAGCCTGCTTCTCTCTGCCTATGTCTCTGCCTCTCTCTCTGTGTCTCTCTCATAAATAAATAAAATTAAATAAAATCTTTAAAAAAAAATTAAATAAACTTAATTTAAAGTAACTCTGAAATGTGCTTTAATACATAAATATTAAAATTCCTAAAAAATTATTTAAAGAGATTGTAATATCTAAAGAAACTGAGCAAATACCCAGATTAATTATAGGACATCTTAGATTTCTAAAACTTGAGTATTACAAAATTTCTAGTTACCCTGAGTGTCTTATTCTTAGATTTTGTTTATTTTAAGATAAGCTATTCATTTTTAGTCACATCCATATAGTGGCAGCATATTTATGAATAAAAAAACGTAAGCAACTGCTAACATAATCTTTCCCTTTTCCAGAATGTAGAACCAACAGTTAAGCCGACATCTGGAGAAGAAGCATCTCTAGTAATGTAAAATTCAGCAACTATTTTCTTCAGCCTATACTACTGACGAGTTTTCTTCTGGATGCAAAGTATTTATTGTTCTTAAATTTTATTTTCTTTCTCAGACCTCCTAAATCTTCTAATTTAGGATGTAAGGCTATTCTCAGGTTTTGACAACTCACTACTTAAATTCTTAGTCCTACTGGGGAATTTTCTTCTTTAAGACATTTTACTAGGGATTTAAATCTACAGACTCTCAGTTTGTCAAGTCAACTCTTGCTCACGGAAAGATCTTGTGAAATGCCTTCTCATTGCTGCCTGAAAGTCATAACCTTTCTAAATGTGTAACACATGCAATTCATAACGATTATAAGCTACATTAAAACCTCAATAAATATATTCAGGTATGTGAAATTTGTTAAGTTTATTTCCTATTGTATACCTGTTAAGATTTTTTCATACTTTTATCAGAAGACCAGGATCACAACAAGGCCTTCGCCTTACAAAGAACACATGTAACTAAAATATAATAATATTAATTATAGTTCAAATTGGCCTACTTCTTAAACTGCAATTTGTGGAACTTGCTATGCCCTAGAACCAGAAATAGTTCTTGCATGTGATCTGTGCAGCAGAAAGTAATGCTGAAAAAAAAAAAAAAAAAAGAAAGAAAGAAAGTAATGCTGATGCTGTATTCAGATTTGCTTTCTACTTCTTTCTACTTCTTCTCTATGGGTGAAGATTAAAATTGACCATAAAACAAGTACTACACTTTTCAGTTCAATTCTGAATGAGTGATAAATGATGTCAATAATCTGACAAATACATGTAAGCACTGATGAGTTGGCTGATTTTCCATTTATAACTTAAATTCAGAGTAGGATTATGGGGTAAGCCAGTTAATTTACTTACTAAAATTATTTTTCTGACTAGAAACTTTTTTGAAGATTTTGAATCAGAACATTTGGATCTGAGTCACTCTAGATTTGTACAGTACTTTTAACTTCACAAAGTATCAGTAAATAAAATTCTATTTTTACTCAAAATCATTTAATCAGACAGGAAGGATAGATAATAGTTACTCCCATTTTACAGGATATGAAATTTGAAGAAAAAGGAAATTGAGAGGCTTTCCCATGTTACACAGATAATGACAATTAAAAGTCTCCCAAGTCACATTTTTATGCTGTTTCCACCGGACTAAGCTACTCTTGTAGTATTATGTCCACTGAGTTGCTTTATAGATGCATCTGGTAACTCTGGATGAAAAAAAACTTTCTTTAAAAACAAAAAACCCCAAAATGCCTTAAAAGACTACATACACAACTTTTATCATTATAAATATTTTATTTATTTGACAGAGAGAGCACGTGAAAGAGTATGCATAGAAGCAGGGGACGGGGCAGAGGGAGAGGAAGAAGCAGGCTTCCTACTGAGCTGGGAGCCCAGTGTAGGGCTTCATCCCAGGACCCTGGGATCATGACACCTTAACTGACTGAGCCACTCAGGCAGGCCCCCCAAGACTGTACACTTTTAAAAGCAATCAGTCAACATGTTCATACAAAAAAAACTTGAAAAAAATGATAAAGAAAAAAATTCTAATTCTAGAATCAAAATGAGTAAAAATGTTTACAATTACACTGTTAAATAATGGTGCTGTTTTAAAAAAAACTCCCATATCCTCAAACCTTTTCAATTTCAGTAAAACTTTATCTTATAATTTTCTTTTAGAAAATATTTGAGAGAGAGAGAGAGAGAGAGAACACGCGCACATGCCGGAGAACAAAGTGAGGGACAGCAGAAGGAGAGGGAGAAGCAGGCAGCTTGCTGAGCAGGCAGCCCGATGTGGGGCTCAATCCGACGATCCTGGGATAATGACCTGAGCTGAAGGCAGATTAGCTTAACCCACTAAGCCACCCAGGCACCCCTCCTTATAATTCTCAATGGTTGCATTAAATAGAGGGATCGATTTGTTTAACTCAATCTTCCTACTTCTCTAAGTTTTAGCTCCCATTTCACTTACATCTTAAGTGAAGTAGGGTTTAACTTTTGGACAGCATAAACCTAGTAATAAATCTGCATAGAAGCGGTGGGTCAAAGTACATGCAAAATTTAAAGACTTAAAAAAAAACCCACTCCAATTTATTTATTTTTTAGAGCGGGCATGTGCACATGCATGCACGAGCAGGGGGGAGGGGCAGAGGGCGAGGATGAGAGAAACTCAAGCAGACTCAGAACTCCATCTCACAATCTTAAAACCATATGTGAGCTGAAACTAAGAGTCAGATGCTTAACCAACTACACCAGCCAGGAGCCCCCAAATTTAAAGACTTTTGACAAAGATACTGCTAAACTGCATTTCATACAGGTTGTTCCAAATTCTATACTTACTTCTTCGGCTGCAAACTTTAAGACTGCTGTGAAAGGTGTACTTTCAGGAACACTAAGTCTGCAAGAAGAATTAAAAAGAATTTTTTAAAAAGGTGATTATTCTTAAAGCCCCTCATTCCTTATTTTGGCTAATGTAGTAGAGCTGGACAAGGGGGTCTTTTGAGGCTGAAAGTTGTCTATTTTGCATGCTATGTTCATTAACTTTAAAATGAGAAAAAAAAAGCAATTAGTTTTATAGCTGAAATGATGCGCACAGCTCCACCTGAAAATTAACCTATAAAGGAAACTTTATATTTTTAATATTTTGATTCAAACAGATCTAGCATATAGCCTGATGCTTTTATTCACAAATGAATTTCAAAAAGTTGCATCTCTTCTAGGTCTTTAGTCCCCTTTTCCATCTCCAGTCCAAACACCTCTTCACCAGATGCAGGAAAGTCATTTTCATCATAAGAGACTACCTGGGAAGCATCCACACCCCCTCACCTTTTGATGAACCTTTCTGTGTGCGTTTAATAATCATGCCTAAAATAGTAGACTAAGTTGATGAAAATGAGTATGTTCACTATGATAAAATGTGAAGTGATCTTCTACCTTTAAATCATCATCAGAAAAAGGGCTTAATACAATCTGAAACAATATTTTGGAGGGTAACATGTGATCTTGTCACTAACTTGCAGTGTTAAGTATACAAAAAACTACTGATTAATGATTAATCAGTATGAATTAATTAATCATTAATGATTATTAATTTGTATGAATTTTCCAATTTAAAAACTAAAAACAGAATTGACGTTATACCCTAAGAAAACACTTAAAAACACAGAAAGAGATTAAAAATATATATAAAAAACTCCTAATGTGAAATAAATCATTCAAGACTGAAAAACAGTATCTTTCAGAGGGAAGTGACTGGCAAGCTAACATTTCTCTTTGTAACTTCTGTTTGTCACCACTGTATTATTCTTTAATGTTTTAATAAATTACCATTATGTAACATCTTAGATATGTGTCCCATTTCTTCACTTAGTTTACAGATCTCTGAATATAAAAATCACTAGCTGCCACAATACATCATAATAGGAGAAGTGTGAATAGATTCTTGGCTGCCTCCATTCTATTTTTCCAAAATACCACTAAAAGGTGAAAACGGAAATAATTTTTTTCCCTTTTCTTTCCTTGTTTTTTTGGAGACAATTAAAACAAAGTTCTAAAGGATAGCCATTTGTTTTAAAAACATCTAGTAAAATGAGAATGTGACAGTCTACAAAGTGGGGAATTGTATTTGGCAAATATTTCTGTAGTACATTTACAGTTTAGAAACTGAGATTCGTTTTCCTGAACCTCTGCTTCAAAGGAACTTCTAAAACCTTAAAGTTTCAATTCACTTGTGAACTAAAGACAGGGTATGTCCCTGTAATACATACCTAAATGTCATACTGATATTCATTAAAATAGATTTTTACTTGTATCTTAAATTCGTGAGACTGTCCAAAGATAATCCAATAAAACATAAAATGAAAACACATTTTAATGCATGTTCTAAGTGACAGAGAATTACAAAGGAATTGGGAGTTGCAACCGCACAGATTTTATCTAGATTTGAATTTGTTTTGTTGGCCAATTGCATCATTTTGCAAATCCGGCATTGAAACACTACATTGGTATTTTGAAAAAAAAATGAGAATTATTCTGTATGTTAAGATAAATTTTAAAAGTAGGGATCCCTGGGTGGCGCAGCGGTTTGGCGCCTGCCTTTGGCCCAGGGCGCGATCCTGGAGACCCGGGATCGAATCCCACGTCGGGCTTCCGGTGCATGGAGCCTGCTTCTCCCTCTGCCTGCGTCTCTGCCTCTCTCTCTCTCTCTGTGACTATCATAAATAAATAAAAATTTAAAAAAAAAAAAAATTAAAAAAAAAAATTTTAAAAGTAAATTACTGGTAAAATTTGTCTATTTAATAAATATCACATATAAGCAAAAATATGACAGAACTTGACAAGCGCTGTTACGAAGAACTAAGAATAAAGTTTCTATAGGAAACTGAAGAACGGTGAAATATAACTCCCTGGACAATTACAGAAATCCTTACTGAGGTGACATTCTGATTATTAAAGGGTGTTGTTTGTCCAGAAGTGGTGGTCATAAGACTGCATTCCAAACCTAAAAAAGAACATGTGTAAAAGCAGGGAGGATTAAAGGGCTTGCTTGTCAATCTGGGAACAGTGACTGAAGCTTTGATTAACTATGGTTGTAAGAGAAGGGGAGAAAAGAGGTGGGGAGTAAGATTGGAAAGATAGGACTCAGACTGAGTTAAAGGTATATTTAATTCATCCTATATACATGAGCATATCTGATTCAACATTTCCATAATTTAATGGCAATACCAAGAGTTAATCTATCAAAAAACAAAACAACAATAAAACCTCTGATATTCCCCAAAATAAATCTGGAATTGAAACATCCTTTTTTGGGCAGCCCCGGTTTAGTGCCGCCTGCCGCCCAGGGTGTGATCCTGGAGACCCGGGATCGAGTCCCATGTCGGGCTCCCTGTGTGGTGCCTGCTTCTCCCTCTGCCTCTGTCTCTGCCTCTCTCTCTCTTTGTGTGTCTTTGTGAATAAATAAATAAGATCTTAAAAAAAAAATATTAAAAAAAATCCTTTTTAGAATTCAACTATTAGTAATGTTAGAAACTCAAAGCACAATTATCTATCAAAGCATTTATTTACTGGCTTTGCAAGTGAAAAGTGACATTAAAAAGCCAAAGCAAATTCTCCTACAAATTTCACGAATGGCATTTAACAGTACCCAAGTACTAGTTACCGCTTACTTCGAATACGAAATACAGCATAATTAACTTTACATACATGCACGTCATACATATTTTATATACACACATATCCATATACAGATTGTACATACACACCAAACAGTAGGTATGTCTGTTAAATTCATTCAGTCATGAATATTAATTGAACTAGTAAAAAGTTCTGGGGACTCTTACAGATACTACTGCTGTCCTACTCTGTCCTTTTTCCCTCCTGTTCTAGAGAATATCTACACACACTGATGAGAATAATTCCATATAAAGGGAGAAATCAAAGGTGGTGAGGAGAGAGGGATCTCTGGACTCCCAACTGCTCTAAGCTTGAGAAGACTGAAACAGATGAAATCCAAAGCCCAAGTGGCACAGCTTGGCTTTTCATAGGAATAAAATCATGTGTTCCTTTGTAAAAGGATGATGAAAAGAAATTATGGGTTTATAAACGTAACAGTAGCTTTACAGATGTGGTGATGGAAAGATGCATTTTCCTCTGATGGCTTCAGCAAAAGAGAAAAAAAAGCATTGTAGAAAGTATGAATAGATGTTTTAAAAATCTTTTAGAAAATAAAGAGATAAGAAAACTTGGGAACTGTAACATAGTGTTAGGTACCAATGAGCGCAGTTACGAATTTTATACAAAATCCATCAACCTAGGATCCTATGCCTGGGTGGCTCAGTGGTTGAGTGCCTACCTTTGACTCAGGGCATGATCCCAGGGTCCTGGGATGGAGTCCCACACTGGGCTCCCCGTGGGGAGTCTGCTTCTCCCTCTGCCTGTGACTCTGCCTCTTTCTCTCTCTCATGAATAAATAAATAAAATCTTTTAAAAAAATCCATCAGTCTAACTGTATAATTTTCAGTAAAGACCTTTAGTTATGTAGGGAACATAGTGGCTGAGTTCAGAGGTGGTGTTTCACCAAGGAAAACATACCGGGGAGAGAACACCAGAATTGAGGTGAGTGGACCCACCAGAGAGTAACTGGACCATGGACTCTAAAAGAGTAAGAAGAAAAGGAATGGGGTAAAGCAGTGGGGAGAGGGTAACGATAGATTTAAAAAGAGGTCTAGGGATCCCTGGGTGGCGCAGCGGTTTGGCGCCTGCCTTTGGCCCAGGGCGCGATCCTGGAGACCCGGGATCGAATCCCACGTCGGGCTCCCGGTGGATGGAGCCTGCTTCTCCCTCTGCCTGTGTCTCTGCCTCTCTCTCTCTCTCTGTGTGTGACTATCATAAATAAATAAAGAAAAAAATATTTAAAAAGAGGTCTGATCAGTGAATTAAAAGAAACATTTTGGGCAGCCCAGGTGGCTCAGTGGTTTAGCGCAGCCTTCAGCCCAGGGTGTGATTCCTGAGACCGGGGATCAAGTCCCACGTCCGGCTCCCTGCATGGAGCCTGCTTCTCCCTCTGCCTGTGTCTGTGCCTCTCTCTTTCTCTCGGTGTCTCTCATGAATAAATAAATAAAATCTCAAAAAAAAAAAAAAAAAAAAGAAAAGAAAAAAAATTCTTTTTTTTTTTTTTACAGAAAAAATATTAGAGTAACTCAAATTTAAAAAGAAAACAAGGTCATCCACAAGGGAATACTTGGAAATGACACCTTAGCTGGAGCAGTTACTGAAGACCTTACGGTTCTAGGCTGCAAGCATAACTATGTGAGATAAGATGAAAGATTTACCTGGAGACGAATGATCGAGAAAGCTTAAGGCTAGGAGTTGCATGGGTCAGATAGTTAAGTCACTGAGGCTGATGACAACTGTTAAAGAGTTTCGTTAGGGAGGCCTTGATACTCGTCATATTAACTATGAAAAAAATCCTACTGAAGTCTTGCCCTTTACCGCATCTTATGCGACTTCCGGCAGCAATAACCTCAATAATCGTTTGTCTAAAATCACAGAAGATTCCGGGTGAGTATGTTGTTAAACCTGTGCCAACCCATCACTCAACTGCTGAAGGAGAAAAACAGGGCCTCGCGTGCCCTATTTCTGCACTCCCTATTCCCACTAATCACTCTTCATTAAACCCCAACATAGAAAATGTATGATTTGAGGATCAGTGCTTTGTGACGCCCGGCTGTTGAGTCGCTTACACAGGAACCAGAAGCCTGACAGTACTCCATGTTCCAGGAATTTCAGAACCTGGACGGGGCTGTCTTCCCTTACTTCCTGTTAACAGCTGGTCAAAGCAGCAAAACGCCTTTCCAATCAGAAGCGGACAGGGACTGTTCAAGGACCTGCCACCCGTACCCCCGCCCCACCCCCAGCCCCCGCCCCCCGCCCGGGGAGTCCCGCGGACCCGTCAGCGACCAGCCGCAGCGTTCCCGGCACGTCCCTGCTCCCTCGCGTCTCCGTCTCCGTCTCCACTGCTGGGGTGGGGGGAAGGGACGGGATGCAGCCTGCTGGGGCGGGAGAGCGCCCGAAGGCCAGCCTGGTCACCCCCTCTCCTCCCGCAGCCCGCAAGGCCCACCGCCGCCGGCTACTCACACTTTGTAAGGCAGCCGCGGGTCCGACGTCAGCGTGATCTTAAAGGAAACCTTCGACCTGAGGAGGAAAGCCAGAGTGAGTTAAAGCCGTGCAGCAGGGCCAGGGATTGAGGCTGGGGTCAGCACACACTCACATAGCGGAGCCCTGCGGACGGAGACCCCCGCCGACGCCGCCTAGTCTCCCTCTCCTGCGGTGCCCGGGGCCGCGCCACCCCTCCCCCAGGTCCACGTCTCCCTCCGCAACGTGGGGGCCTCCAAAGCTTATGTTGTCTAAGGCACTGCCTGAACATCGGCTTCGGTTGCTTGTGCTAGGCGGAGCCTCCGTGTTGCAAAGAGCTACTTATTTAGCACTTAAAGTTCTGAGACTAAAGCATGGATCGTATGGAGGAATATTTTTCTGACTGCGGTTATTTCCTGCCGTATTTCCAGTCAGGCAATACAAATGTGGGAAGACACGGCGGGACGCTAGGTCCCAGCGGGCAGCTTGGGGCGGAAGTGAGAGCACAGAGTAGGCGGGCGCGGCGCGGCGAGGCGCGGCGAGGGGCGGGGCGCGGGCGGGGCGCGGGCGGGGCGCGGGCGGGGCTGGGGGCCGGCCTGCCACGCAGTTGCTAAGGCAACCTGTTCGCCGAAAACCTGGAGCGTTGAGTTCAAGAAGCTGGAATCTTCGCCTCTCTTTAGTATTAGCATTCTTCTGTCTTTCCAGCAATGCAATCCTGTTGTATCTTGCATTTCAAAATTTTTTCCTTAACGCTAGGCAATACTGATGTCAAATTTCAACAGACGACAGAGGAATAAAGTTGGTGAGAAAGGTAAGACCCCTGTGCTAGAAGAGCTTGGAATATACATGGAAAGGGCAATCCAGGGAGGGAGGCCCGGGTGGCTCAGCGGTTTGGCGCCTGCCTTTGGCTCAGGGCGTGATCCTGGAGACCCGGGATCGAGTCCCGCGTCGGGCTCCCTGCGTGGAGCCTGCTCCTCCCTCTGTGTCTCCGCCTCTCTCGCTGTGCACGACCCTCATGAATAAATAAATAAAATCTTTAAGAGAAAGAGCAATCCGTGAACAGGATTTCACTAGTTTGCTGTGTGGTCTAATAGTATTACACCAGGGAGCTCGGGCGCCGATCATGAGCTACATCTATTCAATTTAATAACAAACTTTGAATCCTTTCTAGTAAAGTTCAGTGCTGCGGATGCTAGAATGAGTAAGAGGGTAGATGCCAACCCTCCGTGGTCTAACAAGTTCTTGTGCAGTGAAGATAGACTGTATGCCCTCTAAAGTCCACTACAAGTCTAAACACCTGTATTCGCAAAATAAACATCCCTCTCCAATGTCTGTAATTCCCTTTTTAGGAAGTATTGCAATGAATTATAAGATAGGAAACAAGTAGGTACTAAAATAATGAGGAAATCTAGATAATCTTTAGGCTATTATGTTAAGATTTCTAAGGAGAGATATCTAACAGGAATAGGGAAACAGCTGCAGGAGGGATGTTAAAGACCAATTTCCGTAATTTCGTGTCAGAGTGCTGTTTTGTGGGCCCGGGGAGAGAATGCAGACTCTGACTTAGGAAAGAAAGGCTTCAGTATGATGCATGGCACCTGATTTTTTTTTTTTTTCCCGATAAGAATTCTTACTGGGAGTTTTATTTCAATGTGTTATGATTTTATTTTCAAATGAAACTTACCTAGACATCAAGGCGAATGCTCAAACTTATTATTAATTTATTTTGTCAGTGATCATGCTCATTCTTCACTTCTAAAAATGCGGGCCTTGCTATATAGAAAGAGATTGAGGCAAATGATCTGGGGATTGACAGGTACAGCATTTATAGCTGTCAATCTATGGGATTCGTTGGTATGAATAAAATTTTTGAGAATAGCAATAAGAAGAAAACTACTGATTGTGTCTACCTGGTGTCAAATAGCCAAAATAATGAAGAGATTAGAGTAAGTACCTGAAGAGAAAAAATATATATATTTTTAAAGATTTTATTTATTTATTAATGAGAGACACAGAGAGAACAGAGAGAAAGAGAGAGAGAGAGAGGGAGGCAGAGACACAGGCAGAGGGAGAAGCAGGCTCCATGCAGGGAGCCCGACGTGGGACCCGATCCCGGGTCTCCAGGATCAGGCCCTGGGCCGCAGGCGGCGCTAAACCGCTGAGCCACTCAGGCTGCCCAGAAAAAATATTTTGCTCAGTTTTTATTGTACTTATAAAAAGTATTGAAGACAAGATTCAACACCAGACAGTGTGACTTCAGTACTTACATTCCGTTGCTTCTTCAGAAAACATATTAATATATCAAAAGGACAAGCGGAAAACATTGTGTTCAAAATTACCTATTCCTAAATGTTTAGAATTCTTTCCCACCATACTCTAACTCTCCTACCCCTGTATCTGTGTCCTCAGAATCACAGTAATTTCTAGAGGCTTCCGAGTTTTATTTTTCCTGATACCAGAAAAGAAATGATAAATAGATTCATTTATACTTAATATAAATAAATGATGTATATGATTTTTTGTTTAATGTTTTTTGTTCTTTTAGATTTTGCTAAGGCATTTAGCAAAATTTGGCAAATATGTCAGAAAAAGAACCTTATTTATTGAAACATTAAAGTGTTGAAGTACATTTAATGACTGTAAACAAAAGCAAACTCTGGATTTTAGGAGGTAATTGGCAAATGCAACATTTTAAGGCAACATACAGCATAAATGGTCTAATGTGTTTTGGAAGGATTCCAGTTAGTATCATGTAGAGGCAGAAATGATTACAGAATGCACAGTGTGACCATATTTGAAACCATTAAATATAAATGAACATACAAATATTCTGTTTGTAAAAGCACATACATTTCTCATTATTAGAAAGGAAATGGAGGGAAATTAAATTTGTATAAAAACTAAAAAGATTTGCTTATGTAGTCATAAAAATCCTTCTTACCTTCACTTATCTGTAACCAGCTTTATTTATTTTTTTTTGTTTTGTTTTTTTATAAATTAATTTTTATTGATGTTCAATTTACCAACATACAGAATAACACCCAGTGCTCATCCCGTCAAGTGTCCCCCCTCAGTGCCCGTCACCCACTCACCCCCACCCCCCGCCCTCCTCCCCCTCCACCACCCCTAGTTCATTTCCCAGAGTTAGAAGTCTTTATGTTCTGTCTCCCTTTCTGATATTTCTCACACATTTCTTCTCCCTTCCCTTATATTCCCTTTCACTATTATTCATATTCCCCAAATGAATGAGAACATACACTGTTTGTCCTTCTCCGGTGTAACCAGCTTTAAATAAAATAGAAAATGTCAGATTTGGAAGCAAAAAAAAAAAAAATTGTCTTCTTAACTTTTTCACCCTAACTTGACTATATTTATGATTATGACTAAAATCACCTGATACTTGGGAGTCCCATACAGGGTGCTGATCTTACCACCCTGAGATCATGACCAAAACCAAGAGTTGAATGAATGCTTAACCAAATGAGCAAGCACCCTTGTACTAGATTATTTTGATTCCATACCCTTCCCAAATATTTCCTGAAATTAAATGAGGAAAAAAGGGCTTTTCTTAGGAAGGTTCACTGTTTGACTCTAAGTTTTATAAATGTGAAACATAATCACTAGACTTGCAATATTTTAACTACAGAATTTGTAAAATACTTCCTTATGAGAAAACTCTTTAAATTATTAAAAAACCCAGGAATTTACCAATCTTGTATAATTAAATTTTCTCTCTAAATATTGTGTGAATTATTTGTTTAATGAGAACATTACTTGTTAGAAAAATTAAAATAGCTTCTGACAGATCTTTTCCAAACACAAGATTGTGGTTTTTCATACATATGTATTTATTCATTCAATAGCTATGAAGTTAGTACTATTACTATTCCATTTTTAGAAGAAGAAAGTAGCACACAAAAATTAAATGACTTATCCTAAGTTTAAATAAGTGGTTGAAATGAGACTGAACTCAGACGTCTGATATAAAACAGGGTTTTATTCACTATAAGAGTTTAAGGATATAAGGTAGATCCTTAGCTAGTATGAAACAATTCTTTGAGGTAGCAAATATTGTTATCCCTTTTTCACAGATAAGGAAGGCAAGAGAAACTAATCTTTTTCAAGGTCACAGAACTAGTAAAATGCCAGAGCTGGTCTGGGAACCCTGACAGATTGGATTCAGAACCTATACTCTTCAACATGATATGTCGTGAATCTATGATCACTTATTTATAAATATTACACTTAATTATAGATACTCTTTTTCCCACTTCAGCCTCCAAGTCAGATTTATCCTGTGCCAGATATAATAATTGTTATTCTTCTTATATAATTGTAGAATTGTTTTATATTATGTTGAATAGGAATTCAGAGAGCTCAGTATAGACAGTACCATTTCTAGAGGAAGCCAGAGACAGAAGAGTACATATTGAATGAAACCATTTGTATGTATGGTTCAAAATCAACAAAATTAATCTATGGTGTTAGAAGTGAGAATGGGGCATAGTGACAGAAGTATGTAAGGAGCTTCATGGGTGTTGATTATACTGCTGTATTAACTCTATGAAAATTCAAGGGTTTGAATTGAACCCAATACTTAGGGTTTGTGTACTTTGTGTGTATTCTATTCCAATGAAAGTTTATCCTTGAAGATTCTAAAGACTAAAAGAAAAGCACAGTTACAAAAAAATGACTGGGAGTGATACTGGAATTTTAGTGGGCAGAGTGTCAGAGGACTAGCAATGCTAAATGCAGAGTGGGAAAGAGTAAGAACAGTGTATTTTCAAGGTAGGCAAATACAATGGAAATCAAGAAGAAATTAACTTTTCATTTTTTCCTAGTACTTTTCAAGACTTCTTAAGTTTTTTTTGAAAAATCATGTAATAACTGCTACCCTTTTCATATATTTGAATTTCCAATCAGTACAGTAGTATCAAGGTGTATTTGTGGCTGTTATACTCATGATTACCTTACATGTTCATAACAGGTTTTAGCCATTTTACTACTTAGACTTTATGTGAAACATATATTAAAGTACATATAAAATTAATATTTACTTTTATTATTTCTTTTATGTATTACAGATAGGACATGATACAGATTTTTAAAGACTATGTATGTAGATAGTTTGTATTATCCAGGAAACTGTATTCAGGATTAGAAAGCATTAAAATGTTTTCAATAGGGATCCCTGAGTGGCTCAGCGGTTTAGCACCTGCCTTCAGCCCAGGGCATGATCCTGGGGTCCCGGGATGGAGTCCCGCGTCAGGCTTCCTGCGTGGAGCCTGCTTCTCCCTCTGCCTGTGTCTCTGCCTCTCTTTTTTCTGTGTCTCTCATGAATAAATAAATAAAATATTTTTAAAAAATATTTTCAATAAAAAAGGAGCATTGAGAAGCACTGATTTATATAATCCAATATATTTATAATGGATACTAACTTCTCATAGCCCAATCTATGGTGAACTAAAAATATAATTCATTTTTTTCTTTCTGTCTGATTCTGTTTCAGGCCAATTTCTACCTACTGGCACGAATTTAACCTGATTTTTCTCCACCAAATCAAAGTTTTCTTAGTCAAATTGGGATTTCTAAGTCCGATATGGTTCCTTTACAGTTCTTATTGGGGTTATATCTAAAATATGGGCTTTCAGAATATCTGTTTGTTTGTCATCATCTGTCCATATACCCATTGTAATTTATATCCACTGACATCATCTGAGATGAGATATCTGCTATCCCATTATTCTTTGAGGATATATCTCCTTTCTCTGAGGATATATCCTTTTTGAAGGGTGGCGAGGTGTCTTCAGG